TATATTTACTTTAAACTTCAATTTCCCCCTCACTTTTTATTCGTAGGGGGAAAATTGTATCATAGAAAAAGAAACCTGTGATTTAAAAATCAGACATACTTGAAATCAAAACTCTACTCCACATGTCACTTGTTTGTAATCTCCATAAATACTAAACATGTCAGCCTTGGTTCCTCATCCATAGAGTGAGAACATCAGTACTTACCCCGCCCACCTCTCAGGAGGAGGATGAAGATGAAAAGGACTGACAAACTCTTCTAAATGCATGCTGCTAGAGGAAAATCTGAGGCTTTGTTCTGCAGTCCCCTTGACTTTGGGCCTGCAGCAATTCCTTGGTTTTGTCCTGTAAGTATCCTGGGAGAACGGGTCCTCTTATCCAGTATTTTTGGAAAGGCTGGCTGAGTTTCCTGACAGAGGACTGCTAAGAAACCTTCCCCCTTTCTGGTGGGTGCCTTCCATTCCCTCTATTCAGCTTCCCCTTTGTGAGACCTGCTTGACAGGCAGGAAAAACATACATCTGTGCACAGTAAAGTTGTCTGTAGGTACAGGGGAAATGTTCCCTAGAAATTTTTAATATCATATAACACTCATCCTCACATGGCATTACACATAAATTGGACATGCACAGTCAATTCTAGTACAAACTACCACTCCTGCACCCACCACCCCATACTTCCCTTTGCCCCCATTTGGTTATCCTTGATTCGTAACCACTCAGAACCAGCTCTGCCACTGGCTTACCCAGCCCCATGCACTCAATATTTCACTTCTCCCACCAGTAGGAGAGGTTAGAAAAGGCAGGACATGTGGCCTGCCATGAATGGAAAGAGAAATATAGAATTCTCCATAAAAACAGGTCTGTCAATAATTGAGCCTGGCTGGTGTGGCTCAGTGGTTGAGGGTCAATCCAGGACCCAACAGGTCACCTGTGTGATTCCCAGTCAGTAAACATGCCCAGTTGCAGGCTCAATTCCCAGTGTGGAGCATGCAGGAGGCAGCCTATAGATGATGTTTCTCTCTCATCGATGTTTCTCTCTATCCCTCTCCCTTCCTTTCTCTCTCTAAAAATCAATAAAAACATATTTTTAAACAATTGAGCTTTTATCTTCTCAAATTTGTAATTAATAATCTGTTTTTATCTCACTTAAAATTATTTTCAGAGCATGAAGTAAGATAATATATGTCAGATGCAGTTTGTAATTTGTTAGGCACTAAATAATCATGTGGTTTAATGGCAGGATCTCAAAGTGGGTCAAAAAAATTAGGAGGGAGTAATTCTCATTTCCTGAAGCCTTTTCCCGTGTGTCACATTGTCCTGTTATCATTAATTGTGCGTGTGTAAATCATCCTCTTGGACAATAAGCTCCTTCAGAGCAGGGATTGTCTTTTTTGTTCAAAATTTTGGTTTTACTAGAGCAGGAGTCAGGATCTGACAGTCAGGAGGGCAGGGAATTTTGGTTTACAGCTATATCCTGTGCACTTTTGACCAGGGCCTGGTACAGAGTAAGCACTCAATAAATATTTGTTGAATAAATGAATAAGAAATGTTGGCTGGAGTGAGTTAAAATTAGGCAAAATTTCATGTAATAAAGTGAAATGGCACTTGTTTTCATCTTTAGAGAGGAGCAAGCAAGACTGGCTGAAGGCATCATTCTTAGTCTTTGAGATGTCCTCTCTCTATGCCCTTCTCTTAACCTCTCAGAATGTCTCCCCCTCACCCTCCCTGCCTCTCGACTTTTCTCTCATTCTTTGTCCCCCAGCACATTTCACATAGTTGTATGATTGCTCAAAACCCTTGCCTTACACTCTGGCCCAGATTTTCTTATCAAGCTCCCAGATTGCCTTCACTCTTTAGCCTCTTCCATTTACCCCCTCCCCATTACATTTCCTGTCCTGAAAGGTCATAGCAAAGTTGAGAAATCACTCCCATACATTGTAGGAAGAATATAGCTCATCCTGTATTTTTGTGTCCTGTTTCTGGAGTGTTTTCTCTGCCAGGACCTGGACTTCTCTCCCCCAGATCTCCATAGCCTACGCACTACTTCCACTTCTGCCTTATCATTCACTATTTACCACTTACCTTACAGGAGGGATGCTATATGACTCAGGGTTCTCCAGAGAAACAGAACCAGTAGGATGTACATAGAGAAAAATATTAAATATAAGAATTGGCTCATGTGAGTTTGACAACTGAGAAGTCCCCAGATCTGCAGTCAGAGAGCAGGGGATTCAGGGGAGCTGAGAGTGTAGTTCCAGTCCAGTCCAAGTCTGAGGGCTTGAAAACCAGAAGTGATGATATACTTTCAGTTAGAAGACTGCAGTCTTGAGACCCAGGAAGAGCTGATGTTTCACATCAAGACTAAGACAGGCAAAAACTGGGGTCCCAGTGTGAAGGTGGTCTGGCAGGGAGCATTCTTTCTTATTCCTCTTACTAGGGGCAGGGGCAGCCTTTTTGTTCTACTCAGTTCTTTGACTGATTGAATGAGGCCCACCCTTATTCGGGAGAGCAATCTGCCTTACTCAGTCTTATGATTCAAATGTTAATTTTACCTCAAAACACCCTCATAGACTGTCCCAGTTGACCCCAAATTCTATTAATTTCTTATTCTGCCTTAGCCTGGTCGGGACAAGCGCAGGTGTCCGAGGGTCAGGATAACAACGTCCCCCTCGGATGGTTAAGGCCTGAGGCAACCGAGCCAAGTCATAAACATCAACACACAGAGACAGACGTCAGTCTGCCACCACACAGGGGGGGTTTATTAGTTCCTAGTGGATCCTAGCACCAGCGCGGCCACCCGGCGATGCACACCGACAAGGACGAAGATGAAAACGGGAGCAGCCGCCGTCGGTCTCGGCCGAGCGTCTCGGGGTCGTCTTGCAGGGTGATGTGGAGTCCTCCTCTCTCGGGGCAGGGGACACTGAGTGTCAAAATTCCGGGCTTTTTATGTGGTCGAGTAAACACGACG